AGTGGACCGAGCAGTGGCTACCTACATAGGGTTACAAGTAGAAGCAGATGGCTGTGGGCAGGCTGGAAGTACGTACAGAGGAATGTTTGGATTTCACCGGCGTATACCAGCACACCCTAAAATGAAACATAGATGAATGGTTGATTGAAAGGAGAGAAAGACCAAGAGAGGGAAGAAAAAAAAAGAAAAGGCTCACAGAGAGGATTGAGAAAAAGACAAGGAAGGCAAACGAAAGGTGAACAGAGCGACTAATGTGTTGCTAGAGAGAAGACCTGCTGGGAGATCACAGACTGCAGCACCATTAGTGAGTGAATAAGTACTGTTCCTCCTGCTGAAACCCACCTGGAACAACGAGAACAGCTGTACTCCGAGCAAAGAAACAGACAGAAAACTGAATAAGCATCTTTGCTGCAGCACGGAAACACTGTCAGAACAGGCAGGCAAGTTGCTACAGTGCCAAACAGGTGAAGTCTGCAAAGCAAAAGAGAGTGTTTAGACTGGGGGAAGTATCAAGATGATGTCTACAAGGTGCCGTTGGCCTTGCCACTCCCTCTCTGATGACTCTGAGGAGGCAAATGGAAACCATGCAGATGCTGGACCAGAACCCGAACCTGAAGAACTGGATTGGGATAGCTATAGCACCACACTGGAGCACAGATTAGCAGCTGTGGGTAACTCTTGTTGGTTGGTCTTATATATGTCTTAGAAGCAAAATAGTTCTGAAAGAAAAACAAATTGTACTGGTAGAGCTAAACCACTCTTTTTTTTTTTTACCAAAGATAATTTGAATTGAGATTAGGCTAAATAAGTATCACAGTGAACCATGACAGTGTGACAGGACCCGAAACCTAAGCTGTTAAACTGAATTCAGCCATCATTCATTTAACACCTGTGTTTTTCTTACTAAAATGTCAAAATGTCTTCTGTGAAAAAGGCAAATGGATGGAACCAAAGTGCCAAACGCTTGAGCAGAAATGTTTGCTAGGTTGAAATCCCTAGTCAAAATATGAATAGCAAGGACTTTTTACACTACTTTATGCCAGTGACATCCATTATCACAAGGTGGGCAGGTAGCTAAGTTAATATAAATAATGTAAATCTGAAACGTTAGCCAGGCCAATTTGTCCTGTTTATGTGTGACAGCCAAATGATCAATTTGCATGAACAGGCTAACTAGCCTGCCTCAACAAAGCTTCAACCAAAGTAATTGGCTGCTACACCATTGTACTGTCCCTGTCAGTTTTAGATTACTTGTTTGCTAACCCTAAAGGAAATAAACAAGGAAAACATCTGATAGACCAATAAAAACGATGTTGGATATAAGGTAGTCATTTGCATACTGAGCAAAACATCAAAAATAATTATAATAATCACAGACCTCCAGGCAACGCTAATGTGAATAGATGTTTTATAGTGTCCTTCTTTTATAGCAACAGCAAATGTAAAGGTGCATTTAAAAACATTTAGGATGGCTCCAAGCCAGACAGGCATTGCAGTAGTCGATGCCAGTGAGGAAGCATGTACACCAGGGCCTTGAAACACCTAAAATGGTGTTACTGATGGCATTTTCCTGCACTGACATCTCAAAATGTCTGCACTGGAAAAGGTCTGTTGTTCTTCTCTTGTATTCCACAAGTTGTTCACAAACCAATGCTATAGGTTACTGCATTTGGCAGTGCTTATAGAAATAACATTTATATTGTATTTTTTTATATGATATTGTACTGTGTATTTTTAACTAACAAAACTTCCATAACTGGTTTTCAGTCTCATTCAGGCTGTGTGCAATCACTCCAAATTTGTGCACTATGTATCTTTCTGTAATTTTATTCAAGTGTCCGATTTCTAAGTGTAAAATGCAGTTAATGTACAATGTCCTGAATAATTCCTCACAATGGAACAACAAAACTGTGTGCATTGCATATACAGTTCTTTTAAGTGAAAATGCAGTGATTCGTGTGACTCTTACTGCTACTACACTTGTCAGAAATGGTGCAAAAAAAAAGTTACTACTTACTACAGAGGAAATTATTTAATTCTCCTAAGTAAGGAATAGTGAATGAGAGGGACTTTGGACATGGGCAAGATTTTCCATAGCAGCACTGCCCCTGAGAAGTGTTTGTTCAACACCAACCTGTGTGGACTTAGGTGTGTATGTGTGTGTGTGTGTATGTGTGTGTGACGTGCACATTTTTGTGTATATGAATGATTGATTTTGTCTTCTTGTCAGACCTGCTAACACTGTTCAATTATCACTAGGTGAAATGTGTTAACGGTGCAAATAACATGAGGAAGAAAATTGTGTGAGGAGGTTTCAGAAAAGGCAGGGAAAGAGCTCAAACCAAGTACTTTTATGGAAATAAATACAGATGGAAATGTGGTCGCCTGATCATTTCACAAATGCCCAGATATTGGGTATGCTATTAGTTCGTTCCAAATGCCTTGCCCACGAGGACTGGTCCTAAGAAAGTAACAGTAACCAGAGCAGGCTCTCACAATCAAGTCTTCTCACTCCTGTTTGGATAGCTGTTGACTAAGTGATCTGGTGTTTGGTAGAACTTGCTTATCAAGTCAGCACTGTACGTCACTGTGTCAGCTTTTCAGCTGTGCTATATTAAGGCAGCTGCAAATGAACACAGGGAAGTTTCTTCTGACTTGAGGGAGGATAAGTTTCATCTTGTGGCATAACCTGTGGTAAGATCATCTTTGTATGAACTAATTATCTGCCTTTGCTTCAGCCGCTTTTATTCAGCTAATCCCTTCATCTTCGTGTTTTATCCCTTAGCCTTTCACTAATTCTCTCCACTTTTACTTACCTCGTTTGACCTCAGTCTTGTTAACTAGTTAATCTCCCCAACAAACTACAGTATATTTACACTTTTTCCATAGTCATGTTGGGATGGAACTAAACAATCCTAATATTTCTGTTGCAGCAGCGATATTATTACGTTAATGCAAAACGTGAATTACAGTCATTTCAGTGAAATGCAATATGAGTGTTTTAGTTTGAGGGCTTAAAAATGCATAAAAGCTAAATATTACAATGAATGAATGAATGAAGTTTTGAATGGTGTTTTATAATTGTGTCATGTGTATAATTACGTCCAAGCCTGCACGTGCTTTCTAGACACCAAAATTAATATACAGTATAGCCAGGTTCTGAGTACATCAAATACGTTGTCATACCAAACAGAAGAGGAGTAATAATAATATATACATACACACACACACACATTATTTATATATATATATAGATATAGATATATATCTATATCTATATCTATAGATATATATCTAATCTATATCTATATATATATATATATTATATCTCTATATCTATATCTATATATCTATATCTATATCTATATCTATATCTATATATATATATATATATATAGATATATATATAATATAGATATATATAGATATATATATATAGATATATATAGATATAGATATAGATATATATAGATAGATATATAGTATTATACATATATGTATGCATACACATATGCACCCATATTCACCCTATATACACCGACATATACATATTCCATACAAAAAAAATTATTAAATCTAGTTAAACAAACTTGCTTGCCATCTTTTCCAAGCCTCTGAGAAAAGTTTGCAAACTTAAATACATCATAGTTAAACAGGCATTGCAATTTTAAGTCATCAGTATACCAAAATATTTCAGGGATTTGTCGCATAACTTCCAGAAACATTGATTCTCCCAAGTCATCATAATGTGTACAGTACAAAAGGAAATGGGATTCACTTTCCACTTCACCCAGTTCACACAACTCACACAATTTGTTTTCCTCTGGAATGTTTTTGAATCGGCCAACCTCAGTGGCCAGAGGCAGAATCCCAACTCTCAATGTGCAACTAAGGATCTCTGGCTTCTAGATAAACGAGATGTAATATATAATTCAGGACTAAACTTCTGTTTGATATGCATATATGTCTTTACTTAGGCTTTAACAAAATATTCTTAAACCATTTTTCTTCAAATTCCAATAAGAGCTTATGTTTAGCATGTTAACTTAAATTATTCCTGAAGTTATACACATTACACATGTGAGTAATTTCAATTTACAAAAAAATGGTTAAAAAGTGGGATGTAAGCTATCTACTGGGTTCCAAAGGTTCAACTCAACTCAACACAAAGTAGCTTTAAATACAGCAATAAAACTGGATGAAGAAAAATGTATGAAAACATTTGGGGGAAAAAAACCCTAAATCACTGTATGTGATAACTGTATGTAATAAACAACCTGGCATTCTCTCCATGTTTCTTACCCTCCAGGAGCGGAGACTGCCCAGGCGTCTGAGCAGCACTGTGTCCAGCTGGAGAAGGCCCGGCGTGAGCTGGAGACGGCAGCTGTCAGGCCTCTCAGACCGTCTGGAGGAGGAGGAAGCCTGCTCAGCCCAGCTCGCCCTTCACAGGGACATGGAGGCCAACTGCAGCAGCCTCAGAAGAGACCTGGATGA